CATTGTAACTAGCCAACCTCCAAAATTTCAACACCTCTTGTGATGGTTTGACCCCTTCCCGTTTTAACAGTACCCAATTCTACAAACACCTTCCATAATTTCTCCAGCGTATTCCCCGTCTTACCTTAATGGCACATGCTAATTTATCATTAAGAGCAACTTCCCACACCTCTTTATACCATTCTTCCATTTTATATTCTACTTGCTCCTTCCACTTCCTAGTTATCATAATTTGTGTAGCTGTTCAATAAATTTGTGAGCAAGTCCCTTCACAGCCTGCAAACCTTCCACTCCATGTGAAGTGATAATAATGCTACTCAATATGGCTTACAACACAGACCAATACCAAAATCCTACAGCATACAGTATATTCTGTATTGTATAAATTCAAATTCATGTTATTATTATCGATTACCATTTGATTCCTGTAATAAAGGAAGTAGAAAAACAACTTAATAATGAAATAGCTGCAATAACAGGAAACCAGCATATTATAATATACCTGGTTCAAATCCGAAGTGGGTTTTGGGTACATGCAGAAATCCCTTTATGACGTCTTGTCATCCCATATTTTATCGATTCTGAATTTGCTTCTAGTTATACTCTTTTGCATTTTAAGGTGTCTTTTGTAATCATTAGTCGCACCAAAAGCTCAATGAAAAATCACTATAAAAATGAAATTCTAAAGCCGCTAGGAATTTTACAAAAAAAAACCGGCTTGCAGCTTATATGTGAAAAAGGAACCAGCCGCAAAATATTATACTCTGGCTGTACGAAAAGGTCTTTGTTCCATTTCCAAAGCACAGGGGTTGGGCGGGAGAAGCTGTCATCTCTGAAGCACAGCAGCTGCCTGAAATAATTTTTGGCCCAATGCTCACATAATGCAAGTTAATGGTCTGTGCACAACCTCAGCATGGAACACAGCCCAGGCAGTCGGGCATGTCTGCAGGTCATCTAAAAAATAAAAGTGGAATACCTGAGCTTGCAGCCACCTGCAGAAAAAGCGAATGCCAGAACCAAGTGGGAAGAGCGGAACGTAGTGTGGAGTTTGCACAAGCCAGCGTTTTTTTTTAAAAAAAAATTTGAGGTGGGGGAGATGGAGGAAACTTGCTTGCTTACTCACCAGGTTCGGTGATGAAGAGCGGGGCTTCGGGGCTGGCATCCGCGGGCTGCCTCCGGACGACTCGAATGGCGTAGTCCACCACGAACAGCTTTTGGATCTTCTCCCACTCGCTGGGCCATATCAGAGCTATACTGTGCAAAGAAGCAGAACATGCTGCCTTACTTGGGAAGGGGGGGGGTGGCCTCCCTCTTCCCGCAACACTCCAGACCACGTGCGTCGAAAGCAGCAGGGAAATGGGATCCCAGTTAAAGAAGTGCTTTCGAAAAGCCTCAGCAAACACCACCCTGGTTGGTTGGTTGGTTGGTTGAATGAATGAATGCAGGCTGCTTGCCCACGTGAGCCTTCATTCCAGAGGTGGCTGCTTGCTATTTATTCAGAATCTTGAGGACTAGAAACTTGCTTTGTTTTTAAGATCAGCAGCAGAGCACCTGCCTCACAGGTCCCAGGTTCTATTCCATGCAGCATCTGCATGTAGGGGCTGGGGGAGGAAAGTCCCTGCCTCAGACCCTGGATAACCCTGCCTGCCAGTGCAGACAATACTGAGCTAGACAGTCCAAGGGATCTGACTCAGTAGAGATGGCAGCTCCTTAAGTTCCTATGCTGGGCAGCCGCGCACTAAACTGCAACCCATGCAAATCCACCTCACTGCCTGCACCCTTTACTGCCCCCCCCCAATACCTGAAAAAGATGCAACTACTGAACGGAAGCAACTCACAGTTTAGAATCGTCTTTGGTCATGGAGGCAAACGTGAACATCAGGCCGCCATGTGGACAGAGAAGATCCCGGTTCCCGACCGAGGAGACAGGACTGCAACGTGTAGGCCGCCTGGTTGAAGGTCAGAAGAAGAGGCAGAGATGGCAGGCATTGCATAGCAAAAGCCATTCTGACAAGCAAGAAAGTAGGGTTGCTACTTTCAATTTATTTTAACCAGACTAGAAAGAGGGAGAACGTGTCAGGTGGAAGCAGAGGAGCCTTCCAGCTCTAATAAAAGGGGGAAGGGTCTCTAAGCTCCTGATTGCATGCAGAAGGCCCCTGTTTTCAAGGACTAGCAAGGGAGATCTGGGGCTATGAAACAGAAGCTGTTTCACCCACTAGTCATAATGGCAGCTGGCTGGGCATGTGGGCCTTTGGTCCAGCCCAGCAGCCAGACTCACTCTCCCTTTGCCTTCTCACCTCACGAATTTCCTCCATTCTTCCACGAAGAACTTTGAGACGACGTACAGCTCGTCCACCTCCTGAAAGACAGTTTGCCAACGTTTGTGAAATTCAGACTTTCAGGGAGTTCCTTGTTCCCCCGCAGAACGTTATGTGGAGGGCATGAAAAGAGGAAGACTTCAAGGGCTGCTTCCAATAGCAGCCTTTCCCCTGCCGATTTAAAGTTCTGCCCCCGAAAACATTGGTTAAAAGCTGCTGTCCAGATTAAAGTTTTCAAAAAAAGCCAAGCAGCATTCATCAGGCTTCCTGAGAAGGCTGTAAACAATCACTTGTAACCACGGCCTGTAGTTTGGGTTTGTGGTTCTACTTAGGGGAGGCTGAATTCATGCAGGCAGTGATGCCGCCCCTGGGCATTCAATTAGACTCGTCTTACCTGCCTGGAGCCCTCCAAGAGTTCTCAACTACAACTTCCATCAACCCAGCCAGGGCTGATGGCAGTTGCAGCCCAAAATACATTAGGGACAAGCTACTTAACCTCGGGCCTTCCTTTGCTCAGAGGACAGCGTGTTCAAGGACAGTCACAAACTGTCGATTAATGATCTTCACCACAGGCACTACTGCCCAGATGCAGAAGTGGAGAACTGGTTTGGAGGCTGCTGACTGGATCTCTACAATGCAGCCGAGAAGCAGCTCCCAGGAAAAAACCCTTCAGCGCCAGAGACAGAGATGGCACCCCTGACTGATATACACGCACCCCCCCACTTAAGCGGGGGGTATGTTCCTGGACTCTGCACACAGAATTTATTTCATGGTGGCGCATGCAAATGCAGTTGCGCACAAGTGGATGCACATAACTGGGGCATGCCTGTATATTATATGTAGTTTTTAAAGTTGATTTAGGTGGTTTTTATTTGGTTCCAAACTGCATTGTTTCGTGTCATCTGCAAGCCACCCTAGGAACTTTTGAGTGAACGGCAAATTATAAACCTAAATAATGTCACATTGTTATGGGTTGTAATCAACTAAGTCCTACTCACGGTAGACCCCCTGAAGTTAATGAACATGAGCCATGTCCATTAAACCAGATATATTTGTAAAAATATTTGCAAACCACTGCGTCTAACTTTGTGGGGGTGGTGGTTTACAGCACCAAAAAGCATAAAGCCATACAATAAAAAGCCACGTTAAGAAACAGAACTCAGTTAACCATTGTGGATGACTTCTTAATTGCCTGCATTGGCCTGGCAGGATAGAAGTGGTTTCAGCAGGCATTTAAAAGTGGACACAGAAGGCAGAAGGCATCCTCTGGATCTCTAGAGGCAGAGAGTTCCACAGGTCTGGGCTGGTGTGTCTGCTCTGAGTAGCAACGGAAACAATCCATCATCTACCAGTCGCCATTGTGAAAGCACTTAAGAGGCTTTTGATGATTAAGCAGTCTACATACAACATATATATGTGTGTACATGCATATATTGACAAGAAGGTGACCATAAGCAACCTCTGCCGCTGCAACTATATGCACTCATTCTGAGACACACACAAGCACCCCACCCTGCTACCATGAACTCCTGGACTCCCTACCTCTGGCCAGCTGCTGAGGCAAGGCCGGTTTTTGTCCTGGAAGAGGTTTGGGAGAGATGCCTTCTGCTCACCAGCCATCATTTTGTGGAGGGCCTCATTCTCTTCCCCTTCCTGTTCCAGAATCTGCAGAAAAACACACATGGGAGTCACTCCCCATCCTGATTGAAAGAAACTGGGGGTGAGGGAGCTATGTTTTTGTTTTACAGCATTGATTCACAAACTTTTTATGGGGGGGGGGTCCCTGGTTCCATAAACTCATCCCCAGTGCTGCCTACCCTATAAAAAATCATTACTCAGAAGAGCGGTTGGCACGACCCGCTAAGGAACAATTAACTGCACATTCATTCAAAATCCAGCTAAAACTATTTCGTTTAAGGAAATCAACAAAACTGATGGACTTGCTCCAGATACACCAGTCCGATAGTCATATCCATAGCCAACATATCCCTGCTGCGCCCTTGCCTCTCGCCGACCCCCTAGAAAATCCCAGCACCCCCAAAGAGGTGCTACCACCCATTTTGGGAAGCGCGGTTTGAAGTCAAGGGTTGTGGCAACAGTGCCTGCGATTCTTTGGCTGCAGGGACTGTGTGGTGGGGAGCAGTCTTAGGAAATACTGAGCTAGGTTGAGCCAACTCCGTAGTTTCTTATGCTCACATCTAAATCAGCCCTTTGTTTTATTTCTAAGCACCATAGTTGAGTGGCAAAGGACCTGCAGAAGGCCTGAGGTTCAGTCCCTGGCATCTCCAGGGACGAGAGCCCTGGATACTGCCAGTCAGTGTTGACAATACTGAGGTAGATGAACCAATGAGGCTGCTTAGGGTTGCTTCCTACATAGCACAAACAGACCCAGAACTGTCCTGCAGGCATTGGGTCAAACCTCCCCTGCCCCCTCTAGGGCTCATTTGCCTGCAAAATTTCCTAGTGTTCGGGTTTCTGGGGCATTCTCGGACACAGATCACACTCCGTCTGAGGCAGGGAAAATGCAACCCAGACACCTTATAGAATCCCAGAATTGTTGGCAGGGACCCCTGGGGTCAGCTAGTCCAACCCCCTGCAATGCAGGAATCTCAACTAAAGCATCCATGGCAGGTGGCCGTCCAGCCTCTCCTTAAAAACCTCCAATGAAGAGGAGTCCGCCACCTTGCACTGAGAACAGGAGTCTTTGCTGTTTGGGAACTCAGGGGCATTCCGGAAGTAGCGCTGCAGCTTCTCCCAGGCTTCTCCGGAGACCACCCTCCTCTCGTTCTCTGATATGCACAGGTTGCCTGCGGGAGGGGAGAAAACCGCCAGAGAAATGCAGTTGACTCGAGCAAAAAGAGGCGCATCTCAATTTGAGCCCCCCCCCTTTAAAACTCCCCTGGGTTAGCTGCCAAATGGGAGTCCGAAGGAGCCAAACGGTCCCCAATGGACGTTGCTTTTTAATATGGAACAATTGTGAGGTTCCCTTTTGAGCAGCTTTCGGCTGCATGCTTCCTAGCTCACGGAGCTAGCAGGAATCTTGGGGCGGGTAGGTGAGAACACTTCAGGTCCAAATTGCTCCATTAAAAGACCAAGCACCCTGGAGACCAGTTTTCAAAGCATTAACCCTTCCCTGCACACGCTTTCTGACAAGCCCCCCAGGAGGAGGAACAGTTGCTGGAAGCAGTGGGGCAGGAGAGGAACATTCTGTGGAGAAGGACCATGGGTTCAAGTAGGAGAGCAGAAGGCCCCAAGTTCAATCCCCAATGGCAGCAACTCCAGGTGGGCTGAGAAAGATTCTGTCTGAAAACCCGGAGAAGCTGCTGTCAGTCAGTGCAGACCAGTGTTTCCCAACTTGTGTCTCCAGCCGTTTCCGGACTACAATTCCCATCATCCCTGATAACTGGGGGTGAGAGGAGCTGCAGTCCAAAAACAGCTGGAGACCCAGGTTTGGGGAACACTGGCGTAGACAAAAACAGACAGCTTGATTTGCTCCTTTAAAAACCAGTCCTTTCTCAGTACCACGAGGGACTGTAATCTTCCTTTGGAAAGCTTTCCTGCCTGAAACCCATGAGAAGCTGCTGCCGGTCTGTGTAGACAACACTCGGCAAAGATGGGCCAATGGTCTGATTCAGTACAAGGCTGCTCCTTGTGGTTTTTAAGGGAAAGTAGCGCCAAAGCAGAAAGCTGGGGCCATCTAACAAAGTTGGTATTTAGGAAATTCAAGACAGATGAAAGGCCTTCTCACATACCAAGTAAGTTCACTACGGAACTCACCGCCGCAAGATGCCATGATGGCCACCAATTTGGATGGCTTATAAATCAGAGGATCAGGTGAATTTGTGGAGGATAGGGCTATCAATGGCTGCCAGCCACAATGGCTATGCTCTGCCCTCCACAGCCAGAGGCATCAATGCTTCTGAATGCCAGCTCCTGGAAACCACACAAGAGAGTTGCTCTAGTGGCTCAGGGGTCCTGCTTGTGATCTTCCCAGAATGGGCATTTGGTTGGCCACTGTGTGAGAACAGGATGCTGGACTAGATGGGCCCCCTTTGGCCTGATCCAGCATATTCCTAGGTATCCCTTCCCACCCTGCTCTTATTCTAACCAGAAAACACATCAGCATCCGAGGCTCACAGAGGAAGGAACCACCACATGAAGCCGCTGGATGCAAGCCAGGACCAGCCTCCCCCTCTTCCTGCCCCCCAGGACTCCTTGCAGAGCACACCTATTCCTGCCTCCATTGCAGAGCAGAGAGCCTGCAAAAAAAAAGGCCCATCGCACATTAATAATTTGCTATGTGCTTGGTAAGGAGCCGCATCATCTCAAGAAGGCCTTCCACTTTCCAGCACAGCTCCTTTCTGTGCAGTCTCTAAGGTTACAGGGCAATTAGGGAGATGAAGCTGGCAATTAAGGCGGAGGAGGAGAATACGCTTTTGTTTTACCTCCTGCTCCAGGGGCGACCCAAGCATCAGGAAATGGGTGTGCGCCAAACGCAGGGGCCAACGCAGTCGCTGAGCCTGCAATTGCTTGAGATCTGGGAGAGGAGCACACTAAGGGCTTCCTTAGGCTTCGCTAATTGCCAGAAGCATTGGCATATGCGGAGGCGGGCACATGCGCCTTGACTTCTTAAGCAAATTACCTTTCTGAAGGGCATCCTCCAAAACAAACACTCGCACTGAGATTATGTCTTGTTCAACGCAACCCAGCTATAAAAACGGTAAGGGAGTAGGAGGCATTTGTATGTGAGATTCTCTCATTTTACAGCCACAGAAAATGGCCTGGGCCTACATGAACCTCCCTGGGTGCTAGCATCCTTGGGGGAGCACCTTCTCTCAAAAGAACATGAGCCTTCTGGATCCGGCCAGTGGCCCATCTAGTCTAGCATCCTGTTCCCGCAGTGGCCAACCTGTGGAAAAACTAGCACACAATACTGAAGCACAATAGCACTCTCCTGGGATAGAGCAGCATTGCTGCCGCCAACCGAGGTAGCAGAGACGAGCCATTGTGGCCTTGAATCTGCCTAATCTGATCTGGGTGTTATCAGTAAAACCCAGGACTCTGCATTCCTGGTGTCAGGGCAGCCCAGGATGCGAACTGGAAGTCCTCTCACTCCTTTCTGGACACTAAGAATCGGCTCACTCCCCACCCTGCTGAAACACATGGGTATTTTAGGGAGGTCGGTTTTACCCTGATAGCAAAGCACTGGAGATTTCCTACCCCACTGGAAACTGTTGTTGTATAGGACTAAGTAGGGTGTAGCAGTTCAAGCAGTGGGAAGAGCCTAGGTTCAAATTTGCACTTAACCGCAGGAAAGCTCATTGTGTTTCCTTGGGGCAGCCTCTTTCTTTCAGCCAGCCCTGCCTTGCAGGCCTGTAGTGATGAGAACATTGCAAAGAGGTGGGTGGAGAACTACACATGCCACCCAAAGCTTATCTGAAGAAAGGTAGGAAATAAATACAGTACATAGTGGGGCATATGTGTTAAGATGAGTTTGCTGAAATTTCAGCAGCTGGCACTTGCTGTGTATTTTTTATTTTAGAAGTGGGGTTTTTTAAAGTGCATTTTCATGCTGTCCACTGCTCTGCACTCCCATCAGAGTAAGGGCAGTACAGAAACAGAATCAATCATTCAAACAGACATTTCAAAAGCAGCCCCAGCCCTCACCATGGGGGCAGATGATGTCCTCATTGAACTTCAGGTCCTCTTCCTCCCGCTTCTCGGCGATGGATTCATCTGGAAAGCAAGGAGAGGATGCCACAGAGTGAGAACAGGGGAAAAAAACAGGCCTCTTCTGCAATGACTCCGTTTGAGGAATTGCTCTTCCTAGAGAGATTCGCCTGCCGCCTTCATTACAGATCTTGAGTTTCCAGATGAAAACATCCCTCTTCAAACATACCTTTGGGCTGTTAAGCAATCTAAGGCCTTTTATTGGGGGCGTTACTGTTTTTTATTATTCTTATGCATTTTGTGTTTTTATGTTGTAAATTGCCCTGTGATCTTTGGATGAAGGGCAATATATAAATTTAATTAACAACAACAGCACGCCGCAGCAGATGCTGAGGTTATACATTACTGGTGTTTAGAGACCTTTGCCACACAACCCCTGAGACACGGGTGCCACTCAACTGCTCTTGTCTCTGAACTGTCTCTACTCCAGCTGGTCATTGTAAGAACCGCCATTTTGGTGCCTCTGGTTTGCACATTTCCCCTTTCCTCCCCCCTCTCCCTTTCTCCTTTTGTGCTGTGTATTTTAGAATGGATGGATGGATGGATGGATGGATGGAAGGAAGGAAGGAAGGAAGGAAGGAAGGAAGGAAAAAAGTATTTACAAAGTCCTCTCTCAAATTAGATATTTTTTTATTTTTTTTATTAAGGCTTATCTAAATGAAAACAAAAAGAGAAAAATAAAATAAAGCAAAGTCCTTTCTCAAAGGTTGATCTTAACTCTTGTGTCACACAGAAAGGGGGGAGCACTAAGTAAAACTAATTGCTTAGAGCAGGGGTAGGCAACCTAAGGCCCAGGGGCCGGATGCGGCCCAATCGCCTTCTTACAGTAGGCCTACAGCTTACGCTGGGGATCTTTGAGATCTGTGCTCAAAGGCAAAATTAGGCAAAGTCAGAATGACCCCTGGAACTGCCCCCGCGGCCTCAGATCTTGCAAGATTTCTTAACTGTTCTGCAAGATATTGCCGGAACATACGGCAGGGCCTTGTGCGATTGTCCAAGAGCCCTGTAAAGCAAGGCAAAGGGCTTTAAAAGCTGCTTCTGCAAAGGAAAATCCTTTGGGTGGCTCCGCAAGATCTTGCAAGAGCCTCCAGAGCCCAGTAAGCAAGGGTCTCCACTTTCTATTTATTTATTTGCGATCTGCCTAAAGTTGCAATCAAGTAAGAAGAATATGTGTAACTTGTGGGCCTAGTGTAAATAATAATTCATAGAATCACAGAGTTGGAAAGACCAAGAGGATCATCTAAGTCCAACCTTCTGCAGCGCAGGAATCTTCCACCCTTGAGGGGTTCCACCAGCTCAAGAGTACAGGATCAACAGTGGAGCCCTTGTGCGCTGAGGCCCTTTGGGCAAACCCTTTCCTCGGGATCTAACAGCATCCGAGTCCAGCCATCATCCCTTTGCGATGGGAAGGCAGGCAGGACTTTGCCCCAATGCTAGGCAGGGAGGCTGCAAAGACATGTGTGTCTGTATAAGGGGGAGTGGGGAGGCAGAGACAGGAGGCTACCTTTGCTTTTGGCATCACCGTTCATCCTGCCGTTGCTCTGATCGGCATCCTCGTCTGGGTCATCCAGCTGCTCCAGGGCCAGCTGGCGCCAACTCCGCAATGACGATTTCCCAACCCAAAACCCGTCGTTCCTGAAAGGAGACAAAGAGGCAACTCACTGTGAGATCTTTTTCTTTTTCTTTAATACAAACTTCATTGAATTTTTTTAAAACAATTACCAAGCACAAAGTGTTCAAGCACGTATGTAGTCATCCACGTGACACCGAAACAGACTTGGGAAATCTTTTACATTACAGATTGAGCTCCCATCCACTGGGATAATTTCTCCATAGTGGCCATTGTGACTGAGATGGAAGGGAGTTTACTGTACTATTGTTAAAAAACCCCGCTATAAATCAAGGCCATACCGAGTCAAACTCATATTTCATTTTTATTCTACTTATCTTGACTTTCTGGTTCTGCGGCTGTGTGTCTGGCATGGCACCAATGGCTGGAATGTCAAACACCACTGAGAAGGACTGGAGTTCAAATCTTGCACATGAAGAAATTATCTATTACAGTGGTACCTCTGGTTGCGAACGGGATCCATCCCGGAGGCCCGTTCGCAACATGAAAAGAGTGCAACCCGCAGCGGCGTGTCTGCACACACGCGGGTTGCGATTCGACGCTTCTGCGCATGCGCGAGCTGTGAAACCTGGAAGTAACCCTTTCCAGTACTTCCGGGTCACTGCGGGATGTAACCTGAAAGAACATAACATGAAGCAGACGTAACATGAGGTATGACTGTACAGTGGTACTTCGGGTTACATACGCTTCAGGTTACATACGCTTCAGGTTACACACTCTGCTAACCTAGAAATAGTGCTTCAGGTTAAGAACTTTGCTTCAGGATAAGAACAGAAATCGGGCTCCAGCAGCGTGGCAGCAGCAGGAGGCCCCATTAGCTAAAGTGGTGCTTCAGGTTAAGAACAGTTTCAGGTTAAGTATGGACCTCTGGAACGAATTAAGTAGTTAACCCGAGGTACCACTGTAGTTGCTTCAGGGGTCTTGCAAAGACATATAATTTCCCCCAGATACATTTAAATATTGAACAGCCTAGAAATGCTTTTAAATAAAATGAATGCAGCTATTGATTTCAAAGCCACTTGCTCGCTTTACAAAAATGTCTCCCGCAAAGTACGCCCCCCTGCCCACTCTCAGCCACACTCTGCACACTTGAAAAGGGGACTTGCTTACCCTTTGACGGTCACCTTCAGCAAGTTGGAGACAGTTTTGTAGTCCTCGTTCAGCTGGTTCTTCAGCCGCAGGACTCGGCACCTCTCCACCACACAGTCCCTGCAGAGTGCTTTGACTGGGGAGAAGAGACGAGCAAAAAGACTGCCATCATCCTCAGTACAATATCCCTTGCTGTGCATTCTGGACAAAGTGTCCTTCCATAGGGCAGGGCTTAGATCTAAAGCAGCTGAGACGACGACACAGCCTCCTCCACCCCAAACCCAAACACCTGCTTCATCCAGCTTCCCTTCCCCTCTTTAGGCTGCCATTGGGGCATGTTTATCAGACCCTTTAAACTTCCCTGATTTTAAGAAGCAGTTAACCTTTCTCCTGCCTGTAGAATGGGAGACATAGGGACATAGGAAGCTGCCCTATACCAAGCCAGACCATTGCTCCATCTAGTTCAGTACTGTCTACACTGACTGGCAGCAGTGGCTCTCTAGGGTTTTTGACAGAGTGTCTCTCCCAGCCCTACCTAGAGATGGGGATTGAACATGGGCCTTCTTGCCCGGCAGATGCTCCACCACTGAGCTGTGGCCCTTCACAGCTACCAGTGCCCCCTTCCACATCCCACAGAGGAGAACTCTGTTTATGACTACCCAAACTAAGGCTTTCAGCGTATCGGCACCAGCACTTGGGAACACTGTAGTCAAGCACCTCTACCGTGTCAATATTTTGATGTTTGCTGCAAAGAATGTACAGTGGTACCTCGGGTTAATAACTTAATTCGTTCTGGTGGTCCGTTCTTAACCTGAAACTGTTCTTAACCTGAAGCACCACTTTAGCTAATGGGGCCTCCTGCTGCTGCTGCGCTGCTGCACGATTTCTGTTCTCATCCTGAAGCAAAGTTCTTAACCCGAGGTACTATTTCTGGGTTAGCGGAGTCTGTAACCTGAAGCGTATGTAACCTGCAGCGTATGTAACCCAAGGTACCACTGTACAGGTTACACACGCTTCAGGTTACATACGCTTCAGATTACAGACTCCGCTAACCCAGAAATAGTGCTTCAAGTTAAGAACTTTGCTTCAGGATGAGAACAGACATCGTGCTCTGGCGGCGCGGCAGCAGCAGGAGGCCCCATTAGCTAAAGTGGTGCTTCAGGTTAAGAACCGTTTCACGTTAAGGACGGACCTCCAGAATGAATTAAGTACTTAACCTGAGGTACCACTGTATTGCCAAGTGTGGTTAGAGAGTTAGGCACCCGCACTTGGGAACATTGTAGGCAAGCACCTCTACCGTGTCAATATTTTGACATTTGCTGCAAAGTTTGTATTGCCAAGTGTGGTTAGAGAGTTAGTATGATTCTGCGTGGGTCATTTTTTTCCTGTTATCTCTGGGGCACCTCCAACTAAGTTTTACTCCAGGCAAACCTATCAAAATGAATGGACCTAACTTAGCCGTAGCCATTAATGTCAGTGGCTGTACGTAAAATAGGACTAACTCCGGACAGAACTCTTGAGATGCTTTAACACTCTTACATGCAATTTTAAAAAAAACAAGTTGGCAGCTTATAAATGCTATTATAACTAAGTGGCAATTAAAGACACGCACACCAGCCAGTTCCTGTCTGGAGGAGAGGGGTGGCTAAGCGCTTTGTGGAAAGGGGAAACCTCAGTCTGAGAGTGTCAGCTTCACTCTCAGCCTTTGCGAATCAGCTTCTCTTGGGTTTAACAGCTTTCATCTCGAGATTCAGCCCTGAGAGCAGCAGCTGGCAGGAACGAACTTGGGAGGGGGAGAGGCATAATTGAGAGGAAGGTGAGTTTACCAGCCAGGGCAGCAAAGAGCTCTCCCAGCTGCAGAAAGGCATGGGACCAGAAGAGAGTGTGGCGTAGGCATTTGGAGGTTAACACATGTGCTGCAAAATAGATTTTGCTGGCACTCTGCCACTTGGAAGGGAGTATAAAAAGGAGGTGGTTTCAAGGGTGTGTGGTTGTTGTTGTTAACCCGTCCATTCACTTCCTCTCTTTCCAAATAGCATGCACTTTTTATCACCCGCAACCACATGCTTTAATTTGCCCTATTTAAACACTGTTGTTTTGCCCCAGCCATAAGGAACAAGTGGCTCCCGTTGCTCACATGTCCTTTCCAGGAAACACTGTGCTCCTTGGGAGCTGACTGCTAAGCCAAGGAAATTGCAACAGCCTGTGGAATGTGGAATGGTTCGAGTGTGGGAATAGCAGGACCCTAGAGGAGAGGGTTTAAATCCTGCCCCCTCAGCCATGAAACTTACTGGGTGAGCTCTGGGACCAGTCACTGCCTCTCAGCCTAACCTACCTCACAGGGTTGTGGTGGATATAAAATGCCACCTTCAGCTCCGTGGAGAAAATGGTGGGATATAAATTCAATAAACAACCATTCAAAGGTTATGGAACTCTAGCAAGAGCATAAAAGCCGTGCTGGATGAAGCCAATGGCCTATCCAGTCCAGTCTCTTATTCTCAACCAGGTGCTCGTTATTGGAGACCTGCAAGCAGAAGAATTCTCCCCCCCTGCAGCTTCCAGCAACTGGCACCGAGATGGATTTACTGCCTCCAACTGTGAAGACAGAGCAGAGCCATCGTGACTGGTAGCTCCTCTAACAAGGCAGGGTGGACCAATCATCACAAGATGATGCAGGAGGCAAAGGTGGCAAGGAGCTAAGCCATGGCTAGGGGCTGGATCTGGCCCAATCGCCTTCTAAATCTGGCCCATGGAGGGTCTGGGAATCAGCGTGTTTTTACATGAGTAAAATGTGTGCTTTTATTTCAAATGCATCTCTGGGTTATTTGTGGGGCATAGGAATTTGTTCATATTTTTCCCCCAAAATATAATCTGCCCCCCCCAAGGTCTGAGGGACAGTGGACTGGCCCCCGATGAAAAAGTTTGCTGACCCCTGAGCTAAGCTCTCCTGTGACATGCTCCCTTCTGGGGCTTGGCTTACCTGTCAGCCTGGGCCCTCCTCCATATCTCTTGTAGAAGTAGTCAGCGACATATTCAGAGACCCTTTTGACGGTGGGTATTTTGTCCGGGTGCAACTTTCCATGAGAGCACAGGCAGGCCGTGTTATCGATGGGCTTGGGGGGAGTCGACTCATCCAGCCACTGCTGCAGCCATTCAAGAGACACGAAGTCATAGGGGCAGCCTGGAAGGAGGAGGAGGACAGGAGGGCTGGGGTGGGGCATCAGCACCACAAGCCCTGTGTGCTTGGGCTCACCAAAAGTGTCTGCCTTGACCGGTGAAGCTTCATGATCATACATTCCACCCCCTGGCCAGCAAAACTCAAAATCTAAACAATCTAATCTTCAGCTTGGCAAGAAACAAACAAACTGGGTTGTACCCAAGTCTGCCCTACTCAGAGTAGACCCATTGAAATAATTTATAGTTGTGATTCCTGCATGGGAGGGGGTTGGACTAGATGACCCTTGGGGTCCCTTTCCAACTGTACAATTCTATGAGTCTATTAATTTATATCCCTCCCTCTCCCCCTAAGTAGTCTAGGGTGGAAAACAGATGTAGCATTTGAAACAAAAGCGTAGCAAGCACTTTGAAAACAGAATGAAACAACATTAAAAACTATTACAGGTAACATCTAAAGTAAGTTAGTTTTTAAAAAACCCTAAAAGCAATTTGAAACAGTTAAGAACATCCTTCCATCCAATGATCCAAGGGTTGCCTGGAATAGTATTGTGCACGGAACACACCTGGGTAAACAGGAATGTTTTAAAATTCCTCCTGGAAGGAAGTAACGATGGAGGCAGGCACACCTTGCTAGGGAGGGAGTTGCACAACTGGGGAACCACCACTAAAAAGGCCACATTGCAGGTCAGCACCAATCAGGCAGCTCTGGAAATTAGTGGACCCAAGTTAGTCTTGTCAGTTAATTTCTACGGGCCTACTCTGCTTAGGGCTAACACAGACTGTGAAAGTATAACACTTGTAAAAAAGGACAACAACCTGAACTTCAGAAAATTAACTCCAGCACCCCACCCTCAGAAGGCCCTCCAGCTATTTGGGGGGTAAAGCAAGAAAGGGGCTTAGGCCACTGAAAATGTAGCCACATGGTGATGTGTGTTCTCTCTCTCTCTCTCTCTCTCACACACACACAAACACACACACACACCCCTAGAGCAAACAAGGATGAACAACCTCAGCCCATGGATGCATGAAGGAGCAAGCCATGCGTGTGACTGCTCCCTTAATGTAAGGTAACTCCATGCAGGTGGAAAACTAGTGCAATTACAGTGAAGGTTGGGCTAGACACACTCTTTCCAATATACCTGGGTCCTGGTTTGTGTTTTTTAAGAGTCGTTTGTACAAGGGAAGCGTTAAAGGACACCAACACCACCCCAGCCTTGCCCACAGTGGAACAGTTCGTTCTGCCACATGTCATCATTTATCTCCTTTAATTTATAGCCTACCTTTCTCTCCCAGAAGCTCAAGGTGGCAATGCACAATTCTCCCCCTCTCCATTTTCTCCCCACAACAACCCCACAAGGTAGGGCTGGGCTGAGAGGCACCCAGTGAGCTTCATGGATGAAGAGGGCGGGGATTTGAACCCTGGTCTCCCCCAGGTCCTACTCTGACACTCTAACCACTACACCACACTGCCTCTCAACAAAGTAAAGAAAAATTATCTGAAGACGTGTGGCATGTGCACGAAAGCTTATACCCAGAACAAACTTAGCTGGTCTCTAAGGTGCTACTGGACAATTTTTTTTTATTTTTTTCTACTGAGTCAGACCAACACCTGAATCTAAAATTATTTATTTCTTTATTTCACATCCTGCCCTTCCTGATAAAGCAGCCCAGAGAAGCAAACACGTCAGTGAACAGAGCAGTGGCCATGTTTCTTAATATTTTAAGTCACTGCAGATCGTAAAATACCCTAGGTTGACGGAAGAACAGGTAGACAAATATCTTGGGACCCAGCATCAGTTTACTTGTACTGTACAGAACATTAGGACTATCCGGAAAAACCAAAAAGGAAACTTGGCTGGCACCCAATGTCCATGCAACACGTTGTTCCAATATTTCCTCTTGGGACTTAAGACTAAGGCGGCTGGCCAACTGCTTCTAAGTGCTGCCAGCAGTGATTATCTTTACCAAGAGATGCAGAAACGACTTTAATTTTCCAGGCCGGAACTAGACGCCACAGGATTTGATAAAAGTGATATAAATACTGCCAATTAGGAAGGCTTCATTAGAGATCCAAACATTGGGAGCGGGGGGAATGCAAGGCAAATTTTAAATGCTTTCACATGTTTAGATGGCCAATTGTTTTAAAATGTTTTCAGAGAGAGAGAGAGCACAGCTGATGTGAATTTGGGAAGATAATTCTTACAAAGCTTCCACTGATGTCTGCTTGCACTGTGTGTGGTGTGGGGTGGGGCAGGGATGGAAGGCTCTTTGGCGGGGCCTCAGGAGGCTTGCTCTCCACCCCACCCTCCAAACCTTGCCTACAACAATCTTATCCTTAACATGCAATACTGCAAATATGTATTTTTTTTAAAAGACAAATGGAAGATCTTACAGACCAGCTTTGGCAGGCAACTTCTGGTAGAGCTCCTTCACCTCCTCGTGCTTGATCTTGCCCCTGGCCACGCTCTGTTTGCGCATCTCGGCCATCTCTGTGCACCACTCCTCAAACTTGCTGTTGTCCCTCTCTACGAGCTCTTGCAAAAAAGCTGGCCAGTTGGGGGGAGGGGGACAAGCAACAGAATTAGGACGGAGAACAGAGCCCGGCCCTCATCCCCCACAAAAGAAAGAGGAAGCCCTTTGCTACACCCCTAAAGGCCTTGGCTGAGAGTCATTCCCAAAGGCATCCCTTAACCCCAGGGGGAAACATCTTGTTTCATCAAATTCATATGTTGCTCGATTGCAAAAGAAACCAAAAAAGCAGTTTAACAAAACAGATTTTGAAGTATCAAAGTATAAATAAGGATTAACAACAGTAATTGCAGACTTTTGAACAAATGTTCATAGAACTATAGAATAAAAACAGATTAAAACCTGCACCAACTCTCTAAACATCTGGGTAGGCTTTCTCTTAACAAAGATGTTTTTAGCAGGTGCCAAAATAATACAGTGAAGGCAGCTCTCCGATATCAATAGGCAGGGAGTTCCAGAGTGCAGGTGCTCCCACACTAAAATATTGACTTCTTATAAAGGCAGAACAGATATTACGTTGCACCTGCAGTAGTGCCTGTTCTGCCGACCGAGGGAGTCAAGTGGGTGTATATGGGGTTGGAGGCCCCCAATTGAGAGGAGACCCCCAAAATAAGAATATCATCCTGGTGGCACAGTGGCCAACACAAAACTATTATTATTATTAAAGGTAAAGGTAAAGGTACCCCTGCCCATACGGGCCAGTCTTGACAGACTCTGGGGTTGTGCGCCCATCTCACTCTATAGCCCGGGGGCCAGCGCTGTCCGCAGACACTTCCGGGTCACGCGGCCAGCGTGACAAGCTGCATCTGGCGAGCCAGCGCAGCACACACGGAACGCCGTTTACCTTCCTGCTAGTAAACGGTCCCTATTTATCTACTTGCACCCGGGGGTGCTTTCGAACTGCTAGGTTGGCAGGCGCTGGGACCGAGCGACGGGAGCGCACCCCGCCGCGGGGATTTGAACTGCCGACCATGCGATCGGCAAGTCCTAGGCGCTGAGGCTTTACCCACAGCGCCACCCGTGTATTAATTATTATTATTATTATTATTATTATTATTATTATTATTATTATTAATCCATTTTATACACCACCCTATACCTGGAGGTCTATGGCCTATACCCTCATGAGACCCATGTGCAACAGTACACTCTCCACTTATGAGCCCCAGCAAATGGCATTCAGAGGCAATTTGCCCCCAGTAGTGGATGTAATAAAGCCAACATTTTCTTGAGAGTAATTTACAGGTTTCCGCCAAAGGAGGATTAAGCTCATGTAAGGTTTCTGATGAAACCACCAAGCTGACTTGCCACGTCCCCAACCTATATAAAACATCTCTTGGGGAACCATGTGTAGAGGACATTTGCCATTACTTACGACAACGTCCACTATATACGGACCCAATAAATTGATTGATAACAGCCCTTTTCACACAAAGGAAACAAATCTAACCAGGGTGGTCAGTGTGAAATGGCTGCTGAGTGATACTGATGACTCTGTTACTTATAAGGTAGCTCTCTATGCCCTAACAGCTAGGAAGAAACAGGATGGGCAAGTGATCAACTGAAATGGGGACTCCGATAAATTTATACAGTGGATGCTCGGGTTGCGAACATGATCCGTGTGGGAGGCACATTCGCAACCAGCAGTGTTCGCAACCTGCAGCACTGCGTCTGCGCACACGCGGGTTGCTATTCGGCGCTTCTGCGCATGCACCGAAGCCCGGAAGTAACCCGTTCCAGTACTTCTGGGTTCGGCGCACTGCACAACCCGAAAACGCGCAACCTGAAGCATCTGTAACCCGAGGTATGACTGTATAAAACACACCCGGCATTCCCCCTTTGACTCAGCAAGCTACCTATTTGTGGGAAGAAAGAAAACATCACCAGCTCTGCCCAACATTTGCTGAGTGGACACAAGGTGGCTTGCTTAGCTTAACATGTGCCCCACAACGGGTTTGCCTGCACACACGTGTGCCAGGCAAATGCCACACCCCGGGTGCACAGAGGGGAAAAGAATGGACCACACACACACACACACACACAAAACTCCGACTCCAGCCTTACCTGGAATTTCAACACTCAGTGATTTCTCCCGCGTCTGCAGCCTGTACACCAGCATGTAGGCGTTCCGAGAGCGGTAAACCCCCTTCCCACATTTGAGCTTCCGAGTCTGAGATTTAGAAGGCTCTAGTGGGGAGAGAGAAGTCAAGCACAAGAGAAGCCCTGAGACATCTGCTCTCTCTCTCTCCTGTCAGGGAAGCAGAACCTGGAACGCTCTTCTCCCTAGCTCTTCCCTCTCAACTCGCTGATCTGTGACGGGGCCTTTCAGTGGTGGCTCCTGGGTTGCTGAGCGTTCCGTCCTAGCGAGGCAATGCCCTACATCTCACCCCATCCAGAGTGCTTCATCTGCCAGGTTCAAGGCAGCTAACCTTTGGCCAGACCCTCCCACCCCACTTGTGCAGCTTTGACAGAGTGCCAAATTTATTTGGGTGGGTCCCCATGTACCGCCCCATTAACATGTTTACTATTTAAGGGATGCCCCATTCAAGCCCAGAGCAAGGAGCCAAGACCGGAGGTGGGCCCTTACTTCCAAAGGGCCTCACGAGAGCCAGCAATTTGGAGCTATCAGAAACACACTCCTTAGCACACATAAGCCTCACCAAACGTGGGTTGCGTAAACACGTTAATGGAGCTGTTTCTTCTGGGGATAATTATGCCAAGGCACAAGAGGCTTTATTGCTGGTGGAAACAGCAACTGAGTAGCTAACCCTTTGCTGGTCCCAATACACCAGGCATACCCAGCTTTTGGCCCTTTGGATGCTGCTGAAACTACAACTCCCATCAGCCCTGGTTGGCACAGCTAGGAATGATGGGAGCAACATCCGAAGGGCCAAAGGATCCCCACAGTATGTCAATCCAGGAGTGCTCACAGGACAGAGACAGGCAATCTTCTCTATCCTGTGGCCCTCTAGATGGTGCTGAGCGACGATTCTTTCAATTCCCTGGCCTTGGGGAGTCATTAAATTTGTCATCTAATACAAAATGCCTCTAGGCACCTTACATGCACACCATTAAAAATGACTATCGGGTCTAATTAAACAATATCCAAAGAAGATATAACACAGAAACATAACCACGTTCCCTCAAATACCTCTGAGAGCAGATATGCTGAAACAACATTAATGATGGCACAAGGCAGGCTTTACTAGGGAGAGCATTCCAATAACCAAAAGAGGGGCCCATAACCAAAAAGGCCCTGTCGCTTGCTGACACCCAGAAAACCACTCTTGGGGAAGCGCCTAAGGCGATGAACGCAGGATCCAGGCAAATGCAAGCCAGGACACAGACATCAAGGTCCTGCGCTTTATTGATTCAATCTGGAATTTGGTGAACCGAGCCTGAAAACATAGAGGCAGTCAGGGCAAGTGACCACATTTGGACACTTGGAGGGACAGAGGGTGTCTCCCCGCCACGGCTGCTCCAAATGGTTTGACTCCTAACTGCTTATAGGAGCCAGGGCCTCCTCTGCGTGTTTTTGGCGAGGTCTTACCTAGGTCTTCTTCTGCCCCCAGCTGCAGCTTCTTGCCCTCCATCTTCTCTATCTCTTCGTCGTTGAACCGGTACCACTCTCCCGTCTGAGGGTCCTTCACGTGGGCAATGTAGTGGCCGGAGTAGGCGCTCACGCCACGGTGGATGAGGACTGCACTCAGCTCATAGACAAAGTTGCTGGCTGGAAGGAGGGTCACAGAATCAGAGAACTGTAGTGTTGGAAGGGACCCGAGGGCCATCTAGTCCAACCCCCTGTAATGCATAGGGATGGCAGAGAGAATAGCCCCTGCAGCGTTTATGGCGTCACCCGCTTTGTCATTGTAATCTTCAGGGAGGCAGAGATCGGCCACCCCCTTGGGCCGTGGTTGGTGTACACTGAGATTGACAGGATAATAATAATAATAATAATAATAATAATAATAATAATTATTTATACCCCACCCATATGGCTGAGTTTCCCCAGCCACTCTGGGCGGCTCCCAATCAAGTGTTAAAAACAATACAGCATTAAATATTAAAAACTTCCCTGAACAGGGCTGCCTTCAGATGTCTTTTGAAGATAGGATAGCTGCTTATTTCCTTCACATCTGAAGGGAGGGCGTTCCACAGGGCGGGCGCCACTACCGAGAAGGCCCTGTCTGGTTCCCTGTAACCTCACTTCTCGCAATGAGGGAACCGCCAGAAGGCCCTTGGTGCTGGATCTCAGTGTCCGGGCTGAACGATGGGGGTGGAGACCTTCAGGTATACTTCAGGTATACAGGACCGAGGCCGTTTAGGGCTTTAAAGGTCAGCACTAACACTTTGAATTGTGCTCGGATAGAAAGCAGGGAGCTTAACAGCAGGTTGGTGCCAGAGTGACCTACTTTTGCCTCTGCCCTCCTCCTTTTTGAGTTCTAGATGGGGAAACACTGAGGTTGAGGACAGCAAGTGCCACAAACCTGGACTGGTGGTAAATAAGAAGGCAGGCAAGGCAGGGTCTGGTGAAAGGCAGTGAGACTGCTGGGGCAGTGCCCTGTTTGCCCAAATGGACCAGCCCCGACTGCCACCCCTTCATGCCCAACCACAAGCTGCTACTTGGCTACGTAAGATCATAACCTCACCTTTGTCTTCCATGTAGGGCTCCATGTCCAGCAATTCTGAGAACTCGATGTAGGCGTTCAGCTTCTTCTTGTGGCCTGTTTGCCTAAGGAAGCAAGGGAAGAAAGAGCAAATGGTAAGGCCGAGTTTGGCAACTCACAACGCACCTGCGGCACCCCACCTGTCACCTTTTCCCAGGATGACGAGGAACCGTTAGCAAGCAGTCTTCGGGTTAAGTCAATCAACCAGCTACAAATCCACTGAACAGTTATCTTGTCCCGTTCAGTTCAATCTATGGCACTGTTACAGGTGTCGCATAATATCCATTCCGCCTTGGTAAGAAATCGATCTTTCCATGTGGCAGCACCTATGCAGGAGCCTTTTCTGTACTCTTTTCACCAACTGATGAAACCATTTTTGTGTAGGCAAGCCTACCCAGATGTTTACAAAGCTGGTGCAAGTTTCAATTCCTTGCTATTTCCCTTGTTATTTTTCTTACTGATATTTTTCATATTGATAATTTTGTTTATCTCTTTTTGTAAACTGCTCTGAGGTGCTTGTTGCATTTTGTGAAATAAAATAAACTGGGGGTGTTAGCGTAAGCCTGCCTCCTTTCAGTACGGAGGGATCTGACCACAGCAGCTCTGAAGGCTCCCACCCTGGGGTGCTGGAAGAAGAAGAGATGCATGCCTGTCAAACACGAAGCGCATGAGCTGCAGGTTGAGGGTGCATGGGAGGCTGAGGAGACGGATCCTGCGGGTGGCGTTCTGCTTGCTCTGGCAGGTCTCACAGAAGTAGCGGTTGTCCCCTTCCAACTTTTCTTCCTAGCCAAGCAAGAGAGAAATGGAACAAAAGTCACCTGGATGCCCCCGAGGCAGGCTAGAAGTCCACCTAGGTCAGGGGTCTGCAACCCGCGGTTCCGGAGCTGCATGTGGCTCTTTTACACCTTTGCCGCGGCTCCGGGGCGGATACTAGTGAGGGGAGGAGGCGCATTGTGCGCCCTGACACTCCCCACTGTGGCGAGCGCTGTACTGGCTGTGACGTCGCATGGGGGCGGTGCGTGCATTAGTCACGCACTGTCCCGACGTCACCTTCCCGCCCGCCCGCTACATTGTAAGGGGGATGTACGCTGGTCACTGCATTGAAAGGGGGCATGTACGCTGGTCACTGTTTTGAAGGGGAGTGAAGAACACACACACAAAAAAAGGTAGCTTGTTAATTTAACGTTTATTTCTACGAGGAGAAGTAATTCTGAGGGGTCAAACAAAGAAATAATAAAAAAGTGACAAAAAAGTTATTTTTATAATGACGAGTTTTGCGGCTCCCAGTTTTTTTTTCCCCTTCGGAAACGGGTCCAAGTGGCTCTTTTTGTCTTAAAGGTTGCAGACCCCTGACCTAGGTGGAAACAGACCCTTTGGCATCAAATCCACTCTTCAGCTCCTGAATCCATGCATGGAAAGAGTGTCAAGGATGCCTATGGGTCTTCCTTCAGTGGTATTCTGGGAACAGCTTCTACGGCAGGAGACCAGAATTTGGGGGCTGTCACTTGATATGGAGAAGCTGAAACCAAACTGCCTATATCTGGAGAGAGTTAACAAAGCAGGACCCTTCTTATCTCCCTTGTCAGAAAATTTACTAATCAATTTCTTCTCTTTGCATATGACTTTGAGGCTTTTTTAAAATAACCAAGCAGTGAATAAATTTCATGAAACAAACATTTTATATATTAAAAACCCTCAAACAAAAAATAAACATCCGTTTATTAATAATCACATTTGAACCTATTAAAATAGTATTTATAATGTTGCTAATTTGACAGAGACCACACTTAAGATTATCCTTCTGAAGCTGCCTGTTGGAATTAATTTTTATAAAAGCTCCATAGGCACAAAAAACCCCCAAAGGACAGACAAATTAAGTGACATATGCAGAAATTAGGGCCAACGAGGATCAATCCTCCTATTCAGATCCCACCCTTGAGATAAAGCAAAGAGCAGCCGAAAGGAAATTGGCCTCAAACCATAATACAGTGGTGCCTCGCAAGACGAAATCAATTCGTTCCGCGAGTTTTGTCGTCTTGCGATTTTTTTCGTCTTGCGAAGCACGGTGTCGGGAAAGTTTTGGAAAAGCTTCAAAAATCACCAAAGTCTTTAAAAACCTCAAAAAAGGCTACCACACCGCGTTCTATGAGTTGCTCCTTGAAGTCAAGTCGCAACTGTATTAACGGTGTTAAGAAAAAGGAAACAAACTTGCAAGACGTTCCCGTCTTGTGAAGCAAGCCCATAGGGAAAATCGTCTTGCGAAGCAGCTCAAAAAACAAAAAACCCTTTCGTCTAGCGAGTTTTTTGTCTTGCGAGGCATTCGTCTTGCGAGGTACCACTGTAGGCTGGAGGATGAAAGTGACAAGGAGAAAACTCCCAAGGAAGAGCTGATACCTTCAGAAACTCTGTGATGCAGTCCGAGAGTTGCTTGTGGCCTTGGATGTTCAACTCAAGTTCATAAAATTTTGATATAAGTTTGGATTCTCTGCCACACTGGTTGCAGCTGGGGAAGAGGGAAAAAACACCACTGAAGACTACCTCAAGAAGAATTACTTCTTCAGAAATCACGGATATCATTATTTATTAAATTTATTGGTCATTTTTCTCTCATGGCAGCTCAAAGAAACTGACAGCATTTTAAGCAAAACCAAACACACACACACACACACACACACACACACACTAAAACCAACAATTTTTTAAAAAAATAACAATTATGTTTTCCAAAAACTACTATAAAAACATCGTATCCACGAAGAAAAGCCATATATATTGTTAAAACCCAAAGGCCTGATGAAAAAGGAATGTTTTTGCATGGAGCCTAAAACAGTGGTGCGAGGCGAGCTTCCCTGAGGAAAGCATTCCACAAATTGGGGAGCCACTACTGAAAAGGACCTGATATCATGTTGCCACCCTCTGGACCTCTCATGGAGGGGGTCTTGGTTGATTGGGGAGATTGGGGTCCTAAGCCACATAATAATAATAATAATAATAATAATAATAATAATAATAATTCATTATTTATACCCCACCCATCTGGCTGGGTTTTCCCAGCCACTCTGGGCGGCTTCCAACAAAAGACTAAAATTCAATCACTTATTAAACATTAAAAGCTTCCCTAAACAGGGCTGCCTTTAGATGTCTTCTAAAAGTTTGGTAGTTATTTTTCTCTTTGACATCTGGTGGGAGGGCGTTCCACAGGTTGGGTGCCACTACCGAGAAGGCCCTCTGCCTGGTTCCCTGTAACTTGGCTTCTCGCAGCGAGGGAACCACCAGAAGGCCCTTGGCGCTAGACCTCAGTGTCCAGGCAGAACAATGGAGGTGGAGATGCTCCTTCAGGTATACTGGACCAAGGCCGTTTAGGATTTATAGATCAAAATCAGCACTTTGAATTGGGAATACACAAAGCTAAAGCACCAAAAGACTAAGAAGAGGAGAAACTTACACTGTGACGTAGGCATACTCTCCGCAAAACTGCTTCTGGACAATGTCTCGCACATCTGGGTTTTTCTGTGAGGTGAGGGTATCCTCCAACAGGGACATGAACAGCTTGGAAAACTCCTGAGCATCCTAGGAGAACAGTACAGTTGCAAAGGCAGCAGTGATAACACAGGTAAATCAACAAACTAACAAAATAAACAAAGAGGGTGCTTAGGTCTTTTGTTATACGTTATAGCTCTTTTAAAGAGGCAAAGCAACCACCACCACCCCTCATTGCATTGATTCGGGGATGGCACTACACCTCAGCAATGTACAAGGAAATAAAGAATGGAATAGGACCATCCTCTTCAGTGGCAAAACATCCCTGGTTCACCTCAGCTCAGGGAACTGCGGCTTAGCATTACAGAGGGCAAGCGGATTGATGTGCAGCTGCTTCCGCAGAAAGAGCAAGGCAAAACACGCGCTCACACGCACGCACCCGAACGTTACCTGTTGCTGACCTGTGTCCAAACCCAGCGCTTTAACAAACCCTGATGGATCGATATAGCGCCTCTTGCTGTTCTGCAGCAAAGCAAACAAGTACTGGAGGTGCTCACAAATCGTCTGAGGCTCATAATCTATCAAAAGGCAAGAGGATTCCTTCAGAGATTTACCCACCATGACGCATATATTCATATTGACAACGGTCACCCCCCTCTGCACACACACTGTTTATAAAAGACCTCCCCCTGCCCCTGTCCCACTTTGCTACACATTGGGACAGATATACACAGCATATCATCTGCTGGCAACTGAAAAACTAACAAGATGTGCCATTCTGAATAACAATTAAAAAACCAAACCCTTTCAGAAAGGGAAGGTTTCCTCTTCATTTAGATTTCTGTCGAGGTTTGTTTGCGACTCTGCTGCTGCTTAGATACTCTGGTGCCCATGAGAATCCACTGTGGTCTGTGGAGGCTGATTCACTGCCTCCGCTCAGGATATACAGCATTACCTTCAGCAAAACTCTCCTCTCTCAAACTCTATCCCTTATCTGTAAAATGGGAACAAGTGCCTAAGCAGCGCTGCTAGAATAAGAGGACCACAAAAGCCAATAGCTATGTAGGTAGATAAAACATTAGGACACAGTAGCAGCCTCCAAGCAGGCGGAGCCTTGTCAGAGCAAATCTAAAGCCACCTGCCCATTGTGAGCAGTGGGAAAAGTCTGACCAACTTACCCTTGTTTGATGCGGTGCCCTCTGGTGTCACGTACTCAGGACGGGCAATTGGACACAAGTAGAGCGCCTGGCGGAGCTCCAAATTCAAGAACCACATCTGCAGAAAAGTGTTGACATAGCAGGTGGCACCCAGGTTTGTGAGGCCCACAAAGGCATTCTGTGAGGGGAAGGGGAAACACACAACAGAGGTATCACCAAGAAGGTCACAAGGGCAGCCCTTTGCCAACCTGGCGCCCTTCAGATGTTTTGGACGCCAACTCCCATCAGTCCCAGCATCACACAGCATATACTGGCTGGAGTTAATGGGAGTTGTGGTCCAAAACATCTGGACGGCGCCCAGCAGGCAAACCACCAAGTGGTTACCTCCACAACGTTAACCAAGAGCCTCCAGTAGATGATGGCCGGGAGGTCCTTTCAAGACAATATATCCTGCCTTTAGTGCACTTGACCTAAAGTTTTGGGGTTGAATTTGTAGCACTTCACAGCAGGGATGGGGAACACCTGTGGTCCCCCAACAGCCGCAGTAAACATAGCCAATATGTCAGAGATGACTGGAGTTGGGAGCCCAATTACAGTATAGGCAGGCTAACTAAGGCCCGGGGGCCAGATCCGGCCCAATCGCCTTCTAAATCTGGCCCACAGACGGTCTGGGAATCAGCGTGTTTTTACATGAGTAGAATGTGTCCTTTTATTTAAAATGCACCTCTGGGTTATTTGTGGGGCATAGGAATTTGTTCATTTTTAAAAAAAATCATCAAAATATAGTCCGGTCCTCCACAAGGAGGAGGGACAGTGGACGGCCCCTCCTGCTGAAAAAGTTTGTTGACCCCGAACTACAGGCTCCCCAGCCTTGGTTTACAGGGAGGTTCATTGTTCCTCTTTATTTAACTATTACATTTTTAACATGTTTCTCCCCTGACTTTCCATAAAATGCCTGAGATATTTAACATTTAAACAAACATAGCAGAATAAAACAAAAGTCAATAAAATCCAAACAATGTAGCTATTTTAAAAAAAAACTGATGAGGAAGAAATACCAAAATATTTTTACAAGCTTCCTGGTACATGGGAGGGCTCATCCAAGGGTATTTTTCTCTGCAACAGAATACAGTGGTATCTCAGGTTACATATGCTTCAGGTTACAGACTCCGCTAACCCAAAAATAGTGCTTCAGGTTAAGAACTTTGCTTCAGGATGAGAACAGAAATCAGGCTCCAGCGGTGCGGCAGCAGAAGGAGGCCCCATTAGCTAAAGTGGTGCTTCAGGTTAAGAACAGTTTCAGGTTAAGTACGGACCTCCGGAACGAATTAAGTACTTAACCTGAGGTACCACTGTAGATAGAGATGAAACAGTCAGATAAAGCTCTGCTTGCAGTACTCGGTCCCTCTTATTGACAGCTACTTCACAGAACTGGAAAAGGAACTTTACAGCTACCACCAAGAAACCTCTATCAGTTATGACAAAACAGCCAGGACCACAAAGAAAATTTCAAGCCTTCCAATTCTATAAACCAGAATCAAGTTGAGGATGCATCTTGGGGGAAATAATCCTCCTTCACACAGGCTTCAGGGCCAGCACATGAACCCTGGAGTGCCAGGAGACCATAGTAGCGTTACCTTTTTTCTCCTCTCGAAATTTGGATCGTCAATATTGTGAAAGGTGTTTTCATCTATCTCGCCCAGCCAGATGTGCTCACCAATTCCTACTAGGCAGTTTGGGTTTCCTCGGCAGTTTCGCCTACAAAAGCAAAAAGCAGCAGGATCTGAATCCAATATTCTGACCTCATCACATTGCTATCATCTAAAGCCAACCAAGACTACTTATGTCCTGATGCCACCTGTGTGACTTCCAGCACACCTCTCCAGCAATTAGCCGCAAGTGCAGCTTACAAGCCCCACCAACCACAGAGGAGTCCTGAGGTAACTGCAGATAGTGCCAGTGTTGATGATGCTCCCTGGCATGTTTCCTCCTTCCCCCTACAAATTTCAACAAAAAGGACAACTTCTGCACATTCCCCGCATTGTCTAGCTGTCAGTTTCTGTGCTGCTTTTGCTGAAAAGTGCTTGTAAATCAGAATTGCTAAAAGGGGTTATTATTTCTAGCATTTCTATCGTGGTCTTTTCTCCAGAGAACTCAAAGTGGTGTAAATGGTTCTCTCTATCCTCTTTAGTCCCCCACAACAACCCTGTGAGGTAAGTTAAGCTGAAATGAACAGACTGGCCCTCAAGGCCACCTGGTGAGCTTCATGAATGAGTGGGGATTTGAACCCTGGTCCCTCAGGTCTTAAGTTTGACATAGTACTATACCACACTGGGTTAAATGACACAGAGGTTGTAAGTATATCAGTTTCAGATGAAACCACTTGCCTCCTGTATCAGGCAAAAGAGAGGTTTACGGGCACAGCAAGCCCCTAACAACCTTCCATAAACATCTGACCTGTGCTTTTTATTTAAATTATAATGGAAGTTAAAGACAAACCATATGTAACTGTACCTCCTTCCATTCCCATCTAGTCACCCTGATGCTTAATAGATCATCTGCTTTTAATTATATGGTGCACATAAACTCACACAAAAGACAAAAGCCCCACCCTTGAGTTCACAATTGAAAACGGGGGAAAGGAGGGATTAGAGGAGAGAAAAGAGTTCAAAAAAATGTACAGTGATGGGGTTCCTCACACACCAACAATCTCAGTGTGGGTCCCTGACATTGAAGAAGCAGGAAATGAGAACTATACAGCTCAGTATTGCCTACTCTGACTGGCTGCAATGGCTCCCCAGGGTTTCAGTCTTTTCCCACGTTCTACTGGGGTGGCAACTGAGCCCAGAACTTTCTATGTGCAAAGCAGGTGTTCCACCACTGAGCTGCACAGCCCTTCCTAAGAACTTCTAGAATACCCACGGCATACTTCTAGAGTAGCCACGGTAAAAAAAGCAACTAATAAATTTAATAAAAACAAATAAAACGGGGGGTGGTGGAGAACAGGTGGGGCTTGTGTGCCATAGGGAGCTGCCTTCTCTCGAGTCGCCACGTTGGTCCACCTACCTCAATACTGCCTACACTGACTGGCAGGAGTGGCTCTCCAAGTTTCAGTTAGGGAGCCTCTTTTTAGCCCTACTTAGCGGGTATTGAACCTGGGGGCTCCTGCGTGCAGTGCAGGTACCCTGCCATTGACTTGCAGTACAAAAGGCTGATTTCCAAGGTGACGCCGACGCCGCCCTGTGGTTCCCCCGGGGCCCTAGCCCAAGCCCAGCCTGCCGGCCCCTGAGGCTTACCTGCAGGCTCCGCGCTGACAGGGCTCCAAGCCGACGCGGTAGGCCGCCTCGATGTGCTCCTGGGTCACGGCCTCGGGGGGCACCGTCTCCGTCCAGCGCCAGGCCGCCTTCTCCAGTTGCAGCCGAGGAGCCATCCCAGGCGCGGCTCCACGACCCCTGAGAGGGGGCGGAAAAAAGAGAGGCAAGAGGGAGGGAGGGCGACCAGGAAGCGGAAGCGAGCTGGACGCCCCAGGAAGTGGAACCGGCCTCTCCCTGAGCGACGCGAAAGGCCCAAAGCCGGGCGGGGTGCCGGGGAAGCTGTTAGCCGCGCTTGGCTATGACGTTAGACGCAGACGCGACGGCATCGCCGCGCCGCAACGAAGGGGTGGAGGGGGGGAAGCGGCGCAGCTTCGCGGGGATTGGCTACTTCCAATCCGGTCGGGGGCGGGGTTACTTTCGTTGATTGATCTCCCTCTTGCTCCTCCCCCGCCGCTTCCTTTTCTTGGCTCCACCCACTTTTCGAGGCGGGGTTTCTCTCCCCCAACCCACCTCGTAGAAACAAGCAGTGACGTAGGGACGAGGAGCGGCTTTTTAAAAAACAACGAAGGGAAAATACACACACACACGATCGAAGGCCGTTGATTTTCCGCGCGTGCGCAGTCGCGTCCCTCTCACGGTGAGGACCTGTAATACCCACAATGCATTGCGTTTCCCTCAGAAATCCCTGACTCCCATTGAAGGGATTAAAAGGAAGAAAGCAAAATAACCATAAAAATCACACTCTTGTACAAGGGAAAATAAGAAAAAAAAGAGAGAATACTGGAAACTCCTGAGGGAAACAGTGAACCATTCCCTAAATCAAGCCACCACCATGATGGCAGCCATTTTGGTCCTGTTCTCATTTGCAGGACCCATTGGCCATTTAGCGTCACTCGATTCCTTCCTGCATCCTGCACTGCTGATGACTGCAAATTTGGGTTACAGATGGGTAGCCGTGTTGGTCTGCCATAGTCAAAACAAAAAAAATTCCTTCCAGTAGCACCTTAAAGACCAACTAAGTTAGTTCTTGGTATGAGCTTTCGTGTGCATGCACACTTCTTCAGATACACTGTGTATCTGAACCAGTAGAGGCAGGAACCAGTAGAAGAACATGGTACCCCAAGAGTGTCTTTCATTGTGCCTCTCAGCAAGATTGGGTGCAAAGCAGCAGTCAGTCACAGCTCCAGGTCTCTCAGTGCAGCCTCCTCCCGTATTCACTGCATGGAGTTTGGCCTACTTCCTCCTCCTTGTATCCAGAACACCTTTTGATTTCAAAAAGGACACATTTTCCTGTCCACTCTTTGGAGCAGAGCAGAAGGATAGCTTTCTGCATTGCCAATTGACGTTCATAGCCCCCATTGCAGACCCTCCAAGTGCCCCTAATTTCCCACTGTTACCAGAGAATTGGCCGTTATGTTGTTACAGTGGTACCTTGGTTCTCCAACTTAATCCATTCCAGAAGTCCATTCCAAAACCAAAGCCTTCCCAAACCAAGGTGCATTTTCCCAAACAAAGTGCAGAACAATGAAAAACAAGAGACGTCAGATGAGGCGCGGCATGAGGGATTAAACAGGTAACTGGTATGTTGGAAGGGGCTAATCTCTGTTAATCGTTGTGTTTGTCCACGCTTATTTCGTGTCATTGTTTGGCAGGCAGTGTACACAAAGGTTTTGGGCTGGTTTCTGTTTTTCCATCAATCTTGTTAATGGCCATGTATTTCCTTTATTTACAGGAATACTTCGGCACTACCTGGAGTGGATCGATAAAGGGAATTTAAGATAGGATTTGGGAAAGACAGGATTTGGGTATTTTCCTGCCTTTCACATAGGTGTAACAGCATAGTCTTGTATGTCCTTTTATTTGAATAAAAGCCTTTGCTTAAACTGTGTATTTGTGTGCCTTCATTGTAGACTCATTAGGTGGCGCTGGTTAACTTCCTGACAGGTTTTGCATTCTTATAAAGTCCTAAAATATGACTTTTTCACAGTATAAAACATAACAATACTTGGCAACTAATAAAAATACAGTCATACTTTGTGTTGTGTTAGGTTCATGTTGCATCTTTTCGGCTTGTGAACGCAGCAAACCCGGAAGTGTAAACTTCCAGGTTTCGCCATGCGTGTGCGTGCAGAAGCGTTCTGCACGCTTCGCACATGCGCAGAAGCGCTTTATCATGCCACGTGCGTTTGCAGAAGCGGTACTCTAGTTATGGACTTTCTGGGGTGTGAACGGCACCCCAGAACGGATTGAGTCCATAATTGGAGGTACCACTGTACACATAAGAAATACATTGGCATACCAGAAAGGTGAAGATCAGTACAGTGGTACCTCAGGTTACATATGCTTCAGGTTACAGACTCCGCTAACCCAGAAATAGTGCTTCAGGTTAAGAACTTTGCTTCAGGATGAGAACAGAAATCGGGCTCCGGCGGCGCGGCAGCAGCAGGAGGCCCCATTAGCTAAAGTGGTGCTTCAGGTTAAGAACAGTTTCAGGTTAAGAACGGACCTCCGGAACGAATTAAGTACTTAACCTGAGGTACCACTGTACTGAAGCTCAGCAGCCGATACAAAGACACAAAAGAAACATCAGATACAATGAAACAATGAAACAATGAGAGGAAATAAAAATACATGGTTGCTATAAAAGTATAAATCAGTGTATCGTGCAAGGTCACAATATTTACAATGTAGGATAAAGACAGGTACAGTGGTACCTCTAGTTATGAACTTAATTTGTTCCGGAGGTTCGTTCTTAACCTGAAACTGTTCTTAAATAGAGTCGTGCTTTCACTAATGGGGCCTCTTGTTGCTGCTGCGCCGCTGGTACACGATTTCCATTCTCATCCTGGGGCAAAGTTCTCAACTCGAGGTAACTCTTCCAGGTTAGTGGAGTTTGTAACCTAAGGCGTTTGTAACTCGAGGTACCACTGTATTAGGAACTGGGAGCTGTATTTGCAGTTTTATTATGCCAGTAACAATCATCCCCTCCTTGGTGGTTTATTTCTCTTATAACAAGAGAAATATTTGAGGTCAATTTGGGAGAATCAAAATGGCTTTAGGATTGCTCTCCTGTACTATTTCAGACACGTGGTTTATACACTTGTGTATGTGTGCAAGCCTTTGGGAGGCAGAGATGCAAGAAGGCATGGGCGGGGGGGGGGAAAGAGGGACAGAGGCCAGTGTTGCTCACAGCACCCTTGACCATTATTCAAGGCACCCCAGGGTGCCACGGCACACCAATTGAAAACCACTGCCCATCCAAAAAGCATCATACATACATCACAGAAAGAGGCAGTCTTGTCTCCTGTCATGATACCTGACAATACTTGCTGGTTGCCCTTTCCTGGCCAGTCTGAGCCGTTCCCTTGAAATGGTAGATACCTCAGTTCCTGAATCTATTGCCACAGATCTACCCCTATTTATGCGAGATGTTTATAGCTTTTGAAGTATATTTTAAGTGAAAATAACTATTGGGAAAGGTTTTTCCTTCAACTGCAGGGTAAATAACTGGGGTCATTAAGACGGTCGAGATGGCTTTGGGATTTCTCTGTGAACTCAAAGAAAGTGTCTCTTTCCCCCGGGAATATTTTATAATTTTTGAATGTGAAGGATTGTTTTTTCTCTAGGGTGCATGTCTGCTATGTGTGCACCTTCAGATTTGTGTAACACCCATGCCAACTTTGGTTGCCCAGTGCCTGCAAGCCCCCTACTGTGACATCATAGAATGCTTGCAGTTGTGTTTTTTTAAACCACGCCAGCAACTGCTCACCAGGAGCAGAAGTGAGCAGCTTCTGTGAGTGAAGTGAAGAGCTGTTTCTCAGAAGGGGAAACCCTGGAAGAGACTGGGGTTCAAATCCCTCCTTACTCAGCTATGCAGCTCACTGGGTTACTATTAACCAACTCGGGTTACTGTTAATAGCACCAGTTTCCCTATAACTTGAAATTGCTGGATAGTTCTGATGAACTGCAAAATCATTTTTAGTTTGCTTTCTGTTGCCACCCTGGAATTTTTCTTTATTAGTGCCGCTTTGTTTTGTACGATTCCTTGCAAATGAAGGAAAACAACTTTTCTCCTTGTAAATGTTGATAATATGTTTTTGGTTACTGAGAACAAACAAGAGTGTACAGAAACAAGATTGGGTGCAGGCCTAGCCAGGGCATAGGCGTGACACACCTGTGACAAAGGTGACCTGTGTGCTTGCTTGCTTGATTAACAGCTGTTGGGAATGTCAATGTCCCTGCTCTCCCTTCTTATGGTCTTTATATTGGACCTGGAGACTCCAATAGAGAGCATTCCATGTCAACAAGGAGGGGAAGTGGGCACCCTATCAAATGACAAGGCAGGAGCTACACAGAGCAGGGCCTTTTCACTAGTGGTGCCCATTGTATGGCTTGCTCTTTCCAGACCTGCTCTCTCTTGGCCTGTATTTTGGAGCTTTATAATCTAGGAAGACTTTGCTCTAACAGGTTGACAAGTCATCAGTCACTGACGTATGAGCAGATTTTATTTGTTGTTATTCTGGGTTTCTGGTGCACCAGGGTTTACACCAGTGTAATAGAGTTGGCCAGGATGAAAGAAGGGATACAATTTCTGAGCTTTTTCCATTGTCTGCACAGCAGGGGGTGTTCAATCAACAGTGCAAAGGCTGAGCTGAAGCGTTTCCTGTTGGTTACCTGCTTTCAGCAATAGGGGTCGCTGTTTGGTAGTACCCAGTTGGTTAGTTGTCATATTCTAGAGCTCCCTATTGGTGGCTCTTAGGTAATTCCAAAAATACAGTCCATTAATAAAGCACAGTGTTCATTCAGAAAGTGGTAACATAAATCTCCATTGCTACATATTGGGTGTGTATTTCATCGGTTGAATGTACAGCTTTATGGCCATGCTGTAGTGTAGTGCTTATGCAACTGTGAATAAAAGGTGGCTGGGCTCATCGTCCCAGGATTTGGGGGGGGGGGGTGACAAAACTGATTTTGAGTCTGTACTCTGAATAGTGACACCAGGGACCTAGAAGGTGCAGGGCTTGTCAGTCCAACCCCTGCCCAGACTCATCAGGGCTGACCTTAAGGGAATTGGAACAATTGGACCAAATTGGGCCCTGCGGGCCGCACCTAAGGGGGCCCCCACACCAGGGCAATCTAGATGAATTTTATTTATATCTATGAGATTTTGCAGACTTTGGCTGTGAACTGGGGCCCTACAAAAAAAAAAAAACTTCTTCGAATTGGGCCCCCACTGGCTAGCCCTGAGTCTCATAGTTGCTGGGCCTGAGTTTCCCTGCCCTTGCATGAAGTCTTGGGTTTCCAATTTGGAGAGAGAGGGGAGACTGAGGCACTGGGGAGATGGCAGGCTGGCGAGGCCCCCTAAATTTAGAGGCCCAAGTTGCCCTGCCCTCACATGAAGTCTTGGGTTTGCAATTTTGGGAGAGAGGAGGTTTGCTGGGGAGCGGGCAGGCTGGTGAAGCCCCCTAGATTTAGAGGCCCTAGGATTCAGCCTCCTTAGCCTATACATAAATCTG